TATGACGTGCAACTATAACCCAATATGTATGAACACCATACCAACTTTGATCCAAATCGGCCCAGTCATCTCTGAGAAACAGCTCTGGACATGTAAAAATGACGATTTAGCACTTTTACATGAAATTTGGGCGTCGGCCAGCCATATTGAATTGAATCACAAAAATCATGTTGGTGAAGATGAATCTCTTGGTTTACTACCTTTGTACAAAATTTAAACAGAAACGTTCATGGCATTCAAGAGAAAGTAGCATGGGTACCATGAAAAACGAAATGGCCGCCAGTCGGCCATATTTGTTTGAACCATGGAAAAAGTATGACGTGCACCTACAACCCAATATATATGATCATCATACCAACTTTGATTTAAATTGACCCAGTCATCTCCGAGAAACAGCTGCGAACATGTAAAAATGATGATTTAGTGCTTTTACATGAAAATTGGGAATCGGCCAGCTATATTGAATTGAATCACAAAAATCATGCTGGTGCAAATGCATCTCTTGGTATACTATCTTTGTACAAAATTTAAACAGAAACGTTCATGGCATTCAAGATAAAGTAGCATGGGTACCATGAAAAACGAAATGGCCGCCAGTCGGCCATTTTTTTCTCCGATCATTAAGTAACTTGATGCACATATGTAAGACATTATGTTTTGTCTTCATGTAAAGTTTGAATGAAATCTGTCAATAGGTACGTACGTATGGAACGGACCCAAATTAATAGTCTTTGTTTTCGGAAATTATACTAATGTAAAAACACTATATATACTTGCTAAAACATCGAGAAAATGTGCCATTTCAACGGGCTAGCTTACAAATAATTGTCTATGATTGTGTGAATATGATAACGTGCAAACAAGGAACAGAGCCTGTGGTCCACCAAGGAAACTTCCAATTTTATCAAGGCGCGGCAAACTATACTCATGACCGGAGACGTCGTCTTCGTTGATAACTCGCCAATTCACCATAATCGAGGTGGTGAACTGTTGATTTTTCAAAAGATGGATATTCAATTCATATTCATCCCAACCTATTTCAATATTTCTTTTCGAAATTTGAGACATTGTTCAAAAAATCCTGTACAGGGATATGTCTTATGTCAACTAATAATACGCAATCATCCAGGCAGTACTAGAAATTATTGCCGTTACTAATCATGTTTTTTTTATTGGGAAGTTGGATACTTGAACGCGTAGTCCCCAGACGTGTAGTAGATGAGCATAAAAGTACTGTCACATTTCCTTCGTCTTAGCCACATAACCGCCACGGTCCGCTTCATTGAATGTTTAGTTTGATAATTGATAAACATATATTCATTGTGAAGGTGTTGCTTTCAAAGGTGATTTCTTTGCCAACGTATTCAATATACGGAAATAGCATGTGTGTGTGTGTTTGCGTGAGTGGAAGATGCAGATGAGACTCCTCGTCGCAACGAAATCTATCACTGGCAGCGTTTGTTTTGTCATGTCTCACAACTAAATGTCCAAGCTGACTTTGTTTTGGCTATAAATTGACAAGAATTATAGTACCTTAAAAAGAAAATTCCACTGTTGATCTGAGATGGATTGCAGCATTTCGGTGTAGACGGTCGGGACTGGAATGCCGCTTAGCACATGGTGAATTGCATTACACGTACAGACTTCAAAATACAAACTGGCAGAACCACTGACTAAAACTTCTTTTTCTAGAGAGTTCCTAAAAGTGATCGGGGTTTGTCTTGCTTTGTTGTCAGCAATTAACAGATCAACCAAGCCCTGGAGAAGAAAAATAATAGTTTATGAACAGTGTGAACGACACAAGAAAGTATGTTTTAGTCAATCACATACTGACATACATTTATACTGGGTAATTTTGGTTTGGGGGAAAGCAATTTCGGAATATGAAAATTTTCCCGCAATAAATGTGGTTGCAATATTTTGCCTATTTTCATGTTTTTCTGCAATTTTTTTTTATAATTTTAGACGAAATGGACATAATCATCAGCTACAGTTCTTGATCAACAAGTTTAGAAAAAATATGCAAAAAATTGTGATAAATTACAAAAGTTGACTTTGTGAGTCAAATGGTCACACTCAATGGGTTAGTAACTTTATCATATTTTTAAAATAAACTCATTATTATACATCTTCCCAATCATCATATAGCGTAAAAACCTGTGACTAAATATGTCTTATCTTGGAGAGCTTCCATCATCATTCCTGACTTAGAACTTTCAAAATTACAGCATGCTTCTATTTCAAAACAAAAATCAACATTTTCACAGTAACTTTTCACTAAATTTCTGTTTTATTTTTTCCACAATTTTTTGATCCAGAACTCTAGCCAAAATTTATTCCAAAATTAATAAAAAAATTAGAAAAATATATATATATATATATATATATATAAATTGTGTTTGTCATGCGAATATTCAAAGGACATATGTATCAAAAATGTGATGTCATGAAACAGGTCCGAGCACTTCAGAATCATTTACATAACACCAACATCAGGGCTAGAGTTTGTTTTTTTCAGGAATGCTGTATGTTTTTTCTTTTACCATTAATTTTATTTTTGATATAAATATGTTTATATGTTCATGTTTCGAATATTTCCTCTGTACAGATTATTTTTTTTTTTTAAATCTACCATTTTCCTCTGACCCTGGAGTTCAGAATGATCAACCCCCGCTTACCTGATAATTGGCTCGCCTGGACTGTTCTATTTCTTGATGTAGTGACTTTGATGAAGGCATTGTCATTGGTATGTCTTTGAAATGCCTGCATGCAGCACAGTATCCGGTGAATTTAGGTAAATCAATGAAGCAATAGACAGGATCTGAAATCTGAATTGAAGTGTGTGAATATTAAAGTCTGCTCAGCTGATAGTACGAACGGAAAGAATATATTTCAAGTTAGACAAAAGTCATAAATTGTTTTTCTTATCTTGAAAATTACTATAAATATAACAAAGGGCCATTTAAAATCAAGAAACGATGCGATATAAGAGTTGTAATAATTGGTTCAATTGTTATTACCCAGTAAAAGTAAAGACAATGCTGTAATGCCATTATAATAAGAAAATGGCCAAGTAATCTGAACATGGAAAATGATTTCTGTGTAAAAATGTATTATTTATACCATACACATATACCTAGCTATTTGCAATTAGCACATAAAACAATCAGGAAAGTCTACAGCGATATTTAATGTTCAAACTTTTGTATTGCAAACAAATTCAAAACTCAAAACTTGCCCTTTCAAAAATGGTGCATATCTTATAATGGCTAATATCACAGTTAGACTGTGACAATACTGTAAAATCATTTATTTTCACTGGTATTTAATTTCACTAATTTGATGCTTTGAGCTATTTCACTGGGTTGTAATTTTATGAATATTGGCAGCGAAACAATGTTGTTGTTTTATATACATGTATTATTCATTAGTGAAAAAATTTAAAACCAGTGAATAATTAATGTGTTTACAGTACACTTAGCAAAGCAGTGCTATGATCACACATACATACCATAGGCAACAGCTGTGAAACCAGTGAAAACTTATTAGCAGCGTCAAGATATTTATTATGATGGAAAATACAATGAGCCCAGATCGTAGGCAATTTGGCAGTGAAGTTCCACGCTATTCACGATCAGTTCTTCAAGCTCCTTCTCCATTGGCTCGGTTTGTGCGTCAATAGATACATTAGCTAATTGTTGTATTTTAACGTGGGATGGCAGTGCTATTGTTCTCTCTATGTTGAGAATACTCTCCAGAAGAAGTACAGAGTTTTCCAGAGAGTCAATTATCTGCAAATAAATAAATACACCCATTAACCTTTTCACCACCAGACTTTCTCAACAAAATTTGTCTGCACTTTTTTCTTATATTCTTCAATATTTCTAGGAATGAACCCTAATTTTGGAGGCAACAGATAACATTTGAGTCACTTATCTGTTTTTACTCAAAAAATTTGTCCATTTTTGTCCTAATCTTCTGAAGGAAAGTGCAGACTATGAACAAGACTATTTTGTAAATTTGTGATGAAAAGAAGAAACTGGTAGGGGAAAGGTTAAATTAAAATATCTAATAGTCAAGGATCCATGGGAGTGGGTAGCATTGTAAGAGAGGCTGATCCTATCAACCACTTTAATTTTACAAAAAAAAACAAATTTTCATGACTTTTGCAGCAAGTCAGTGAAAATCATAAAATTGCGGAGATGTGAGTCAAAGCAACTTTTTTGAAATTGATATTCTCATATACATCATTAAATCATTGAACAATAGAAGTGTTAATTTACTGTAAAATACTTTATTTTCGCTTGGAATTAATTTTTGCTATTTTTGCTTAAGGAATGATTCAGCGAAAATAAAATCCAGCGAATACACTTTTTTTTATATATTTTACATTTCGCTCTTCAAAAATCAGTGAAAATATATTCCATACAAAACACCAAAAAAGTCTATTCAGC